TCTCAAGACTGAGTATAGTGTGACAAAAAGTACAGAAACAGGAGCCCGACCATACGTACCGGCACGTTTGACTACCTAAGAGAAAAAGTCCCCATACAACTTGGACCAGTGATTGAAAGTTACGCCATCTTGAAGATGGCAACAAGACTAACAGACATATAGTCGATCGAAGTGCAAAGCGCGAAAATCTGAGAGGACAGCCTCCATACGTGGAGCAAGCAGCTGAATGAACTGTTTTAAAAAGGAAACAGAAAAAACAAAAACCTCAATTACCAGTAATCTGATACGCGCTCAGAATGTCTCAAAACATAGTAAACGTGATTCTGTGGCAAAAATCGGTTGTCCATAAGTTGTCGTTACGAATGTGCACATTGCTTGCAACGGTCAGTGCCGATCGAATGCATCATCATTTTTCTCCTCGTCCAATAACCAGTGGCGTCATCCAAAGAACTGTACATGCCACTTTGCTTTTTCCTCCTACATCAATGATATTGGCATGTCCATCCAAAACGGCCAACTCTTTCTATTTGTTGATGACATCAAGATTGTTTATAAACTCCGGCGTGATACGCTTCAGAGCACATTACTTTTAATTCAAGAATATCTTCAATCTCTTAAAGTATGAATTACCCAGTCGATAACATCCGCAACCGACAAATCGAACATTGTCATTTGGTTGCGCGATCCCCGATGTATCAATTAAAAGTAACAAAAGTATGTCCATACGGCGGTCAACCCGTGATCATGGAATCTGATATCCAAGCGACTTCCGCTTTTCTGAACAAGCCCGATACCAAATAGCTCGTGCCAAACAATCCGTGGCTAACATATGCCATACAGTCTCTGCCAGATTGGAATTATTTAAAATCCCCACTCATCCTATTCCTGAATACTGCAACTTTACGCATGGCAGCATGCGGAAATTGGACAGGAAAGCTACAGTAAGTTTACAGAGGTTATTCACCAGAGCGTTTGTTCAATAGCACATGCACTCCAAACTATCGCGAATGTTGCAAACAGCTTCACACAGAATCTCTGGCTGCAGTTTAAAGCAAAACTTGATGTCTCTCCAAAATTTGTTGCACCAAGAACAGTACTCTTACCTACGTAGCAGAGATAAAACACAACAATCATCACAGACTCCGTAACGAAAAATTCACGCTACGGATACTGAGGGTTAGAACAAACATGCGGGCTAACGTTTTCCTCATCAGATACGTCGTCCTGTGGAACAGCCACCAACCGCAACCAGGACATGTGAAAACCCCACGTCATCCAACAATAAACTCAACAGATTCTTAAATCTACTAGGGTTATCATCCATGTTCTCATCTGACAAATAACCTGGTGAACTTACCAGGATAGCCCAAAAATTATCTAAAGGGCTAAGAATTGGCGTCAACATGCAGTCATGCAAGAGCATGATTATTTCTGTACACACAGATGTGTTCCATATTTAGGAGCAGTTTCTCACACTTTCGAAAGATATACGTATCCACGTAGTCGAAGGCATTTGTGCTCTGATAAAATGCAAGGTACTGTCAGGGGCCTTTGTACTCCCATTTGTAGAAGATTTGTAGAACGAAAATGAAACATTGGTCCGATTGATTAAGGTTAAAAAGGACAGCGCAGTCACCTAAAAGTTGCAATGCAGTATTCGCCAACATATATTTTTTCTTCAAGGGGGTAAAATAACGAAGAAATGAAAACAGACATATGAAACACATCAGTAAATAAATCAAAGGCAACTACAGTCGACCACAAAAGATCACATGCAATGGCGCCCGACCAGTGGCGAAGTGGGTCAGCCGATGGCCTGCAATATACATGTCATCGGTTCGAGCCCGCATACATGTGAGCGACTGCGCAGTGTGTGCGTACAACCGTTGGTGCTTAAGCGACAGTGAGGCGTCAGGACAAAGTTTCGATGTGCTGAGGAAACTGATGTAGTTACAATGACATGGTATGTTGATTTTTTTAAACGAAGTGGAGAACGACGTTGGCTCCAGTTGAACAAGTGCGCGGTTAGGGCAACACATCAAAGTGAAATTCGTTAAACTAATGAAAGAGTACGCGATGTTGTACAACGGATTTAAGCTTTTTACGGTTGCAGTGGTCTCAAACATGACGCAGGCGTCGTATGGATGGTGTCCATCAATTATGCGGAACGACAAAGAAAACGAATAAAGCGTCCATATAAATGAACTAACTCACAGGCATTTGTCTCTGCGCAGTTTGGAATAGAGTTCACAAAGGACCCGAGTACATGGTCGATCAATTGTGAACAAACCCAAGTGACGTTTCCGTTTTTTACACAAATATTTTTCTTGTGAAAAGACTGTTTTCTTGTTGAAATTAGTATTTCCTTTCACAAGTTCCGTCATGATTTCCTATGAGGACTAAAGGTTCCCCAGAAACAGAATGTGTACTGACCTTTCCAGCAGTGCCACCAAATCGCAATAATTTGATGTCTTCATAGTCCAATTTCTGATTGCATTTTGAGTCAACAATATCGCGGTTATCATTTGAAATCAAAGATTCCTTTTCTATATCAGAAGTGGAAAACGGACACTCTCGGAGGGCCTGCTGTGATAAAGATGCGATGTACAAACGAATGTCTGAATAAAGTCCGAATTCACCTCGCGCACTGGCTCAATTTCGTTCCCGTCAATGGCAAATAAAGTTCCATAGGGTAGGCCTATAGCATTTTTGAGAGATACTCTAATTCCATCAATGGTCTCCATGCTAAAAACGTAAGTCAGCACAAATAAACAAACTTAGAAGGGTCCAGAGTTAAGGAACGAAAATAATCTTCCTTCCGGATGATCACTCGATCGTGCGGCTTGATGGCCATTTCTAAAGTAGGAAAATACAATGAATTGAGGTGAGAAGAGGACAAATGCCAAATATCCATGTCATTTGCAATCGAGAGAATGGTAGTCAGGACGAAAACTGAAAAGCTGTGACCGAAGTGAGCCAATTGGAAGATAGCATCGAGGAGGCAGTTTGAAAACCTCACGTAAACAAATGGTTTTAAACCTCAAAAGCAGACTGCTGCCGATACGCCTATGCAGTTTCGCAAGCTAATTGGGTTTCGGTTGACCAGTCTGTAAACAGTTGGAGGATTTCACCTGAATCCGAAGCTATTATCAAAGGAGAAAAACTTCCATTACAAGAGTGTAGTAAATGAAAAGATGGGAAGTGAAAACGCGGTCACGTGTGATGGAAAGGCACACACAAAGACATACACACAAGGTTGCGAGGAGTCAAAACACAGGAAGAAAACTGGAAGGAAAGAGCAGTTTTGGCAAAATGAACAGCATACATGCAACGGTGAAATTATACAATGAGCTAATCTGGGTGACGTTTTTGGTTCCGGATCCCGTCAAACATAATATGTTAATCAATGAGGATAAACGAACTAGCGGAATACACGTTTCATTGTACAGTCTATCAAACACTTGGTTTCTCCACCAAGTATTTGCATAGGGAAATTGGTGCCGTTGTGGTGCGCAATGATGAGTCAGTATGCAATGAGGCTTTCAGAAAGTTCCGGCACATTAGTAATAATATTTGGTTTACATTAAAGCTGATAGCAATTGAGAAGTGATCAACTACCGTGGAGAGGACCCTGGAGCCCATGATCCACAGTAGCTAAGCAACGTTGAAATAAGGTGTTGGTGTAGCATTTTCGGAAGGTTAGTTTCTGCGGTCAACTGGGCAGAGGATGACGACGAGTATTGCGTAAGAAATTGGGATCCGAAAAGGGCGCATGGATAACGCCATATCCGAACAGCATGTACTGATGAACAAGTGGCCTTACGTAACCGCGATCGGAAACAAAACCTTTTCTCAGCCAATTGAATTCATAGCGCTTCCAAGTTCCCCGTTAAGGAAAACATGATCCTCCATAGATATTTTAAGATGGTCCATAACGTTTTCAAATTGAATCCAACACGCTCAAACACTCCTAAAAACTATGTGAGGTTCGTGGACTGACCAATCACAAATACGCAGATATTATAACATATGAGCATGAAGAGTTAGATGAAATTGCCTGATTCGTATTTGGTCTCTCAATGGACCGTATCATTTAGGAGCGTCCGGGCCGTGTGGATTCAACTTGAAAGCACTATGGACCATCTGGAAAGATGCAAGGAGTAATATGATTTTCTTAAAAAGGAATTTGAAAAAGTTTTGAATCCAATTAGCTGAGAAAAGGTATAGACGAAAGCGTGATAAATCCATGCACTATAGTAGTGCCTTAGTTGGGCAAACGTAAAAGCGGTGGCTGTTTTCGCAGCTGAGGGGCCGGCTGTGATACAGCATATTACCAATCAACTCGTTTATTCTTAGGATGGTGTTTCATACAAGGGTTTTGTAGACGGACCATAACCAGAGAAGAAGGAATATAAGAGTAATTAGTGTTACATGTAACAAACGCAAAGTTGGGCTTGTGTTTGGTTAGATGGCGGATATACGCTAGGTTTCAGAAGATAGTGAAACAAGTGAAAAGTGAGTAACAACAACGGACCGTAAAGGCCAAACCGACGGTAATCTGTCTTCAAAGCAGAGCAGTTGATTTAACAAAAAATGGATGTAAGCTAGAGTGTAGTAGTAGTAGTAGTAGTAGTATAAAGAAAATTTACGATAATGTAGAAGTAAGAGGAGTACTCATTGCAGACTGCAAACCAAACACATGTAGATGCAAAACGGACAAGCGCGCCGAGGCACAGAGTAGATTAGTGCATAATTACTGCAGTTTTAGAAACGGATTTTATACCGCAACGGTTGCATAAGAAACAACAAAATCACTACAAATTCAATAAGGATAAATCCAAAAGTCATTTAAAACATTGGTCAGTATGTCCGTTAAGGACGGAATCAAGCAAGATGCTCCAGTCGATCACCACACGGGTCGATAGGGTAAAATCGCATCGAAGACTCAGCCCTCTAGGTTTGAACAGTTTCCAGTAGCGGACCTGGGTCTAACACTCAGTGTTAATATGGAAAAACCTTGAAGCTCGATTCCCATCTCACCCTGCAGAATGCCCAGGGCGCATATCAGATCGCCAAGGCGAGGACGATATTCCAAAGAGAGCATATTCAACTGATGAAGATAAATGTGATAGGACAGGTGCAGTAACTCAAAAATGCACTTGGAACCGCGCCGCTGAACCTTCTCAGTCAAGCAGTGTACAAACTTCGTAATGGGATGAACTGTGGGTAATCCATATTCCAGAATAAGACACACATTGGAGGAAAACACAAGTTTGGATATCTACGGAGTCATTCGTGAAGAAGTCCTTCGAATAGAACGTAGTAGTGTGTAGGCCGCTGCAACCCTTATCAAAGTATCTTGGGTCGTCTTTAGATCAGACGTCACAATAACTTTAAGGAATTTTTCCTGTTTCACATTATTAAGCAAATAACCACCAACGGAGTAAACACCGAATTGTTCGGTAGCGCCGATAGGGAAAATAGAACATATATCGCGATTTCTAGGCAACTGCCATTTAATAGACCAACCGTGCAGCAAATCAAGTGTAGCTTGGAGTCGGTCAGCCTCCTCGGAGCTGGAGACCTCCACCCATAACTTCCAATCGTCAGCATAGATCAAACATTCGGTCCGGAGAGTCGAAGGGTCGTTAATAAACAGTTTCAACAACTCTGGTCCAAGGGCAGAGTACTGAGTGAAGCCAATACTCATAACAATGAATTTATACGGACTAAGAAGCGTTGCTTTACAAGTCCCGTTGGATAGTTGCAGGGGATATCAACATAACAATAATTATGATAAGGATAGTAAGATAGTTAATACTTTAAATATGAAAATAGGGACTTATCGTTTGCTTCGCTGCAGTCCTGCGATCCTCTTAGATTCACAGCACCCACAGTTAACAACAAATAATTCCATGGTAAACTCCAGGTGTAGGATGGAGACGTAGTGTTAAGTAACAAAGTGTAAGTGGATGAGTGCATCGTCTTTTAAATACTGTTAGTGTCGGTGCAGAGACGACCGATTCTGGCAGAGCATTCCACGGGTGACAGATACGAATAGAAAAGAAATTTCTGCGGCACTCCAGACGACTGTATTGTTCTGCGAGTTTTAATGAGTGGCCCCTCAGGATTGTATTGCTGCTGAGTTGCAGTAAATGGCGGCACACATGATGTCGGTCTCGCAGAATCAAGTATGCCATAATCAGGTCGCCTCGTAGTCTGCGATAGCTTCCACTGAACAATCCCAGTCGTCGCAGCCTCTCCTGGTAGGAAAGATTGCGCATTCCAATTACGTTCTTGGATCCCCGGCCTTGTGGCTGCTCCAGTGCATTAAGGTCGTGTTTCAGCCATGGATGCCAGGCTTGAATTGCATATTCGACATAGGGGCGAACATACGCACTGAGCATTTGTCGAAATATGGAGCTGTTTATTTGTCCAAACGCCCGCCTCAACAGCCCGACGTGTTGGTTTCCGGTCTTCGAGGCCTTTTCGGATTGCCTGGAGCAACCCAAGTCATCTTGAACCAGGACACCCAAGTCACGTTCGAGAGTTGATTGTTGCAGTACATCCGTTCCGAGTCGGTATGAGTAGTTGCTCTGATGTCGGATGGAAAGCACCTTGCATTTACTGACGTTGAAATGCAACAAGTTTTGGGTCGACCATTGATACACAGTATCTAAATCACTCTGAAGCACATGTTGGTCGGCGTTCGCCTGGATCCTGCGCCAGATCTTGATATCGTCGGCAAACATTAGGAAGTTTGAAGCGATTCCCTGTGCAAGGTCATTAATAAACACCAAAAACAAACGTGGACCTAGAACCGAGCCTTGCGGCACACCACACTCAACTTGTATGGGGTCCGATAAAGAGCTCCGAACTCTGACCACTAATTGCCGTTGAAATAGAAAGTTGGCGATCCAGCTTAAAAGAGGGTCTCCGATCCCGTAATGCTGCAGCTTGGATAGTAGTATCCGATGGTCTAGACGATCGAAAGCCTTGGAAAAATCCAGGTAGATCACATCAACACCTTCTCCAGCGTCGGCTGCCTCGGTCCAACTACTGCGTGCAATTAGTAAATTAGTTGTACATGACCGCTGTCGACGGAAACCGTGCTGTTCAGGAGTGATGATGTTGCAGTTTTCCAGATAGCACACCATTGCATTGGCAACTATGGATTCCATGACCTTGGAAAGTATAGGAAGAAGGGTTACTGGGCGGTAGTTGGAGGGATCAGTTCTGCTTCCACCTTTGTGAATCGGACTTATTATTCCAAGCTTCCACATGGCGGGAACTTGGTTCTGGTCTAAGCAGTGCTGGAAAAACTGAGCTAGATGTCCTGCCAGTTGGTTTGCTGCTGCTCCCAATGCCTCTGGACGAATGGTGTCGACTCCCGGCGAGCTGTGTTTGCGTAGAGAAGTCAGCTTTTGAAATAAGGACGGGGGTAGAATACGCCTCATTGAGTGGCAAAACCTGGGGTCTACAGATAATTGGACTATGGTTATGTCCGAGCTACAACCGGTGGGAGCATATGCAGAGACTACAAAAACGGAACGTCTAGCTTCTCGAGGTCTGCAAAGCTCTCAAGAATCATGGAGATTCACAGTACATGGTCCCCTATTGAATGGGATCCATTTAAGTAGGACAGTCTCAGCCCTAGTACTAATAACCGTCTCAGCACCAGATTGTTTAAATAAGCTACATTTAACATCACCAGAAAGGCGAAGATGGAAAAGAGTGAATGGGTGAACACCAGCTGCCAGCTGTGCTGGGATCTGGAAATCGTTCCTCAGAATCGTCATTAACATCAGCAAAAATTAGCTTAAGTTAAGAAACACACCCCAACTACTGTGCCGCAATACATAAAGATAAGGCATACGAAAAAACAAGATACTGAAAATTATAGAATGCAAAAACAGGCAATACAACACTTAGTAACGTAAGATGTATCGAAAGAGAGGTCGCGTTTGGATGGGGAAGATAAGCGGGATGGGGAGGTATAAGAAACTCATAACACAAATGCTGTTGAGGCCGACTCCTAGCCATGTCAATTAGTGTATCCAACCCGACGTGTGCATTGTCTCTCGGACCCCAACCCAGTAATCGGAATGCACGAACCGACGCCAAGTGCGCAGTGATGGCCTAGGTTCCACTCGAACAAGTCCTCAGTTGGCCACCCCACCAATCCTCCCACTAAAAACCCCAGGCGCGCCAACGACGCACGACGCGGGAGTCGATGGGTTGGAATGCGCAACAAGTGGCCCAGCCCTAAGAGCCTAGTGCGTGAAATAACGGTGCTGAGCTCATTGCTCGCTCTTCTCGCATCAAATTCAAGATAACGAACACGTTCATTGCTTACGCGGTGCGCGTATCAGAAAGCAGCAAAGCGCAGATCGCAAAAGTGCGTGCAAGTCCTGGGCATCGTCCAAACAACTTTACACTCCGCATACTGAACATCCATAAAGTCGCAAAAGCGAAGATGGAAGAGACTAAGACTGGTTACTCTCTGTTGAGTCCTGTGTGATAAAGCTAGAGAACGGTAAGTCAACGCTTTCATCAAGTGGTAATTTTGTTCCCCGTTGGGAAATAAGACAGCAACAGAGAGCAGACCAGCAAGCCATCAGCACCAAGAGAGGTGCTCGATTTCATGGTTTTTCAGTACGCGAAATGCTACGCCGTTGCAAAACCCGAGGTAGAAAGGATGACTTGCGGGACGTTCGTCCGAAGTATTTGACCAACAAAAGCATTAGCAGTACACCGGTAAGCAGTACCGACGCTTCTCTGTTGCGCAACCACAGCCAGTCGCACATGGGCTAAGAATACTGCGAGGGTCGCCCAGTTCCTAGACTGGCTTGAACCCGCGCCCTCTGACTACAAGACAGACTTGTTATACTTCAGGCTACGGGCCAACAGCCTGGTCAACAAGGTAATATGGCGAAGTAAAAAAAACACTCGTTGGCAGTGGCTGAATAATCGAATCATACGCCTTTCAGAAGCCAATGGGCCATCAGGAGCCCCACAATCCCGATGATGAGTTAAGTTACTCGTGAGTTACATCCGTCACGTCATGTAGTTTAGGCGCTTGGTTACATGCAGAACACTTGCCAGGTGAAGGCCCGTCACCGTATCCAGCGCTACCAATGAATTGTCCAAGACTGTTTGCAAAGTAAAAGTAATGTGTTACCGGTTACCTTCACAAAAAAGCAACAATCAGAGTCCCAACTTGGGGACGCACCTAATACTTTATAACGGCGTGAATCCTGATTACTCTATTTACGTGATGGAATGCAGACATTCACCACCGAGGTGGAAGAGATGACAGTCCATGGATATTGCAATGTAATGACCTCCATATGATGGGATAGAAACGCGAATGCACTTCCATGTATTTAGTGAGAAGCACCAAGAGTTAGATTAAATTGTGAGCCTGTTCAGACAAGTCTGTGACGTGGACGAAGAGGCTCCAATGAAATCGCAGTCATTGTAGAGCCACCGGAATAGCTTGGCAAGAACGCTTCCATACGGACGAGCAGTGAGCTGACGTCAGTGAATAGCAAAATTAATGGGAGCAAAACCAACATAAAATTGCCCATGTTTGCGGTGGCGATGATGAATTGCCAATGGGATTTATGCGCGTATGTAGCCATGTGGAATGAAGTTGCTAATGTAACGCCGCATGTGTGGCTGTGCTTGATTGCGTTGTTAATGCAAGAAGGGATCGCACGAACTCCTCTTAGTGGATGATTGACATCCGTGGGTATTGTACCGCCCCGCCAGCTCAAACCAAGAAGAAATGAGAACACCAAAGACCAGCTAGGGCCGAGGGTTGTTTTGATTGAGAGCAGAGCGGAATAGATAGGTTGAAGTGAGCTACTAAACACAAAAACATCGGTGCTAAGTAATAGCAATTAACACAACTCAAAGTTCAGGGTTCAACTTGCTGCTGACCCCACATAGATTCGCGTTTCACCTCCTCTTCAGTTCAATCTCCAAATGTAAATCAGTCCAATCTTGCGCCATGGCTTTCGGCTTAAACGCTGGTTCCCCGTAACAGTGAGGAAGAGAGGGTCATTTTGATGAGCAAGAGGCAGTGAGTTTAATTAGTGGCAAGTCACATCCGCAACGTGTGCTAGGATCACAGCTAGTGTAACAGAATAGTAAAAACAAAAACAATGAAGAGCATCGCTCCAGCAGACACCACCGATCTATTTAATGGAGGTAAGCAAGAAGAAAGTAACTGAGAAAGGCAGAAAACATGGAACGCTGAAGATGGTTTATTCGGCGTAGAAAACGAATAACAAAACATAAATGTTCCGGGTAGAAAAGTATTCAGTAGACGTGCAAACAAAACAGCAAGTAAATCGTAAAGTATAATACAATGAGCTATGGACACAAAGAATTCTTTGGTTAGAATCATGCGGGGCAACGACGAAGCTCGAGTAGATGTACATAATTTATTTAAATGGAACTGAAATCAGAACGACTAAAAGCGATTCATCGCGTTGGGAAGCGAATTAAGACTAAGAGACCGGCGGTTTCGTGGACGAGTGGGATGGAACGACGAGTGGGAAGACGCGTCTTTTTGTTCCAGTACGCCTTTCCGCACTTCAATCTGCCGTTGGCATTCTCTGTAGCGACTAACCATATCATGGTATTGGGAATCTTGACTGCGGTAGGCGTCAAGAGTACGCTCCAGCCCGTCAACTTCGGTACGAAGTTGTCGTAGTTCAGAGCACAACGTAATTCTATAAGGAAAGGTTATAAGATTGAGGTGGGGCAAACGCCGAAGAGTAAAAGCGAAAAAAATAAAGGCAAAATATGAATACTCACGCAGACAGGTGGTGCAGTTTTGAAGCTGAGCAAGACTGAATGTCAAACGTTATGGGGTCAGAAGTTAAAATATTTGTAGCTTCAAGAGAATAGAAAATTACGATAAATGGAGTGGAATCCAAAACTGTGTTCGTCCGGTGAACCGGTCATAAAATATCATATTGGTTGATGCATAATAGTGGGATGAATTCAAAAAAAGCAATGGTTCATGGAGGATGGAATAAGGATTTAAAAACCGAACACTTATTAGAAACGAAGATAACACCAGAGTAAAAGAACGATGAGCACTGACAGAAGGGGACAAGGGTGAAATGATCCGAGTGGGCTCCACACTATCAGATCAAGTGTAATGAGCATGTACATGCAACTTAGGTGAACGGAGAAATAGTGGACTCCTAACATCTCCATACTGTATGTGATGAAAGAAAATATGGGTAACCAAGAGAAACCAACAGATGTTGGACAAAAGCAACGGTTCAATAGTTACAATCTAGGTCACCATTTAAACTTATTGTAAAATGTAGCGTGTCACAAGATAACGAACGAGCTACCTCATTTATCATAAAACCACAAATTAGAAAGGCAGATCTGGTTATGAGCGAATGGTAAGGCAAATTGGACCGCATGAAACGAAAACAGAGCTAAAGGGAGTGCACACTGCGAACACCGTTGTTGGGATAAACCGGAATATGCCGCACATATTCCGGACACAAATTTCGTATTGCACTCTATCCAGTAGATAGATAGGTAGCGCAAGTCAAACGGACAGTGTGGCTTGGCAAATGTCCGATTACTGATTGGAAGCAGCAAGTAGAGTTTGCTCTGTGTAGGAGCATCTAATGTCACTCAGGGACAAAGACCCGTCATGCTGTGTTGCGCTCGATATGTTTTACGTCGACAAAGTGTTTGTCTAGGGATTTCTTGAATTTCGACACCGAGTTCTACTAGGGGAGCGCTGAAGAACTGGGACTAAGAAGAGGCTGAACAAAATGTGATGTGGTATTGCCTCTGCAAACATTTATTATTATTAGCTGCTTAGCAAGGACTTCGAATTCGGTCGTTTCTATTGTGATTGGATTATTGTTCCACGCTACTCACTGCGGATCCTGGAAGTGAACTGACGATTGGTTGGTTCGGCGGAGCTGTACGCCACCGGGCGGGTTCCAAGGTTGCGGATCGGGAAACGCCTTCCTTGTGAAGGTAACTGTGAAAAAGTCTGGACTGTTCGCAGGCGAAATGAATAAGCAGTCGAGGACAATCAGAGGCAGCGTAATAGAGCGTAAGGAGTTCTGGGCTGGTTTCTCATTATAGACCACAAGAGATCGCAAGACGCTGTGTCAAAGCCAATGTGACCGGTTATAGGGTCACTGACCACTCACTTCTGATCACAGAATTGAGTAGTTAACAGAGGGCGGATGAACAACCTGGATGGTCACTGGCTTCTATGAAGGCATATGAGCTACCCCGCTGTCAACGGCCTTCGTACTTCGCGGGGAGTTCGGGAATCCAGGGAATCCTGGTATCCTTGCTGCTTCAGTGGGGCTCTCGGGGCGCTCTGAGTGGCTCGCCTTTACTAGAAAGCCGTTCACGTAGATAGCCGGCTCCCAACGGTTCGCGGTATACGTCAATTACCCCGCTGTCTTGCAGTTTAGGTTTCTCATGATCCAAGACTCCGGGTGGGGTCCCTAATTTAATCCTCTTCCTCGGCCTAGGCAACCGAGAAGTACCATGCCCACACAAACTAAGGATCCATGTCTTAACAATTCTTCGATCCCTCTCTCCGCTCGCTCTATCAGCTCTCACTCTCTCGAACTGCTCTCATCGGCCAAAGTGCTGGCGACAGAACCTGCCAAACCAACTTTTACCGCAATAACATTTAGTCACTTGACTCCACGTTTGTTCAACAACTCATTCTTGGTCTTCCCCCTCGGTTTTTGAGTTCACAACATCGTGCCACCTTGGGCGAACGTTCTCGCTATACAGATCAGGAGCCGAAGTCCGAGGATGCGCCAAGTCGTGTTGACAACCTATTTCAAGCGCCCGTTCCCAATTCAAGCTGGCAACCTTCAATGTTCGAACGCTGATGCAGATTGGATCACAAGCAGCCTTTACGCGCACTCTAGAAACTATGGCCATTTATGTCTGCTGTCTCAGTGAGATGCTTTTACAGGACTCTGGCACGACGCTGCGACTAGGTTCACCGTCTGTGAATTCCACTGGCATCTTCACTTTGTGCCTATTTGGAGACCCAAACGCCGAAGCCACTGGTTATGCAGGCGTGGGGATTGCGTTGAGCACACGTGTTGAGGCCACGCTACTAGACTGGAGCCCTGTTAACAGTCGAGTATGCGCGATCCGACTTGAAACCTCAGTGCGCCTGTCCAGGCGCGAAGACAGCAGAAGCTGTCTATTCATCGACGAAGCGCACGCTCCCAAAGATTGCAGCCCGGAGTCAGTTAAGGATGAGTTCTATGATCAAATGGCCGAGCTTCTCCGTAGAAAATGCCGTACCGACATAGTGGTGCTCACCAGGGACTTCAATGCGCAGGTCGGCAGACTTGAAGTTAACGAAAGTGAATTTGGTGGTCAACACGGCCATCGCACTCGCAGAACTGACAACGGTGAGCGACTACTTCAGATTTGCGCCGCTCACGACCTCTTTCTGTCGAGCACTAGCTTTCGGGGATCCTGGTGCCAACGCGCCACCTGGAGACCCCACCACCTGGCCAGTCGTGCACACAAGTTGACCACATCGCCATTACCTATCGCTGGCGGCGTAGCATACAGGATTGCGAATCAATCTGGAGTACCTATCTCACTTCGGATCACGCGTTGGTGTATGCCAACGTTGCTCTACATTTTGGTGACCCAGCAACGTCGCCAGAAACGGCTTGACGTAGCTAAGCTTTCTGCCCCGAAGGGTCACCGCGCATTCCACGATGCCTTGGCCTCACGGCTGAAGACTGCCTCGTGCACAGACATCGAAACACACTGGACACACATCTGCGGTGCTATGTACAACTCTGCAACCCTTGTCTGTGGCTTCCCTTGTAGTCCTGTCAAGAAATAGATCTCTGCACGATCCCTCCAACTTCTCGAGCAATTACTGCTAGTGTGAAATACCATTCACTATACAAGACTACTAACGATAAGCTCAAACAGCTTCTCCGGGAAGATCGCGAGGCCTGGTGAACGCAGCGATTTATTGAGATGGATCAAGCGGCCACATCGGGGAATTTCCGTAAGCTTTTCCTTCTGATCCGATCTACTGGCGGCAAAAGGCCAACTGTGAGCAAAGATTTAGACGAAACGAATGGCGAGCCAATCCACTGTCGAAAACGCCGACTCGAGTGTTGGGCCGAGCATTTTGAGCAAAAGTTGAATTGGCCAGTAGCACCAATGAGTTCCCATGCTGGAGCCCAGAGCGCTCCCTGGTGTGTAGAAGCTTCACCACCATCCGAGGCTGAGGTTGCACAAGAGCTTCGCCTCTTAAAGCGCTACAAAGCCCCTGGCCTAGATGAACTCCACCGCCTCTTTTCAAAGATGGCGGCCCATCACTTGTTCAGGAGTTAACTGTTCTCCCCCAAGAGATCTGAGTCACTGAAGTTATCCCATCTGATTGCAGCCTAGCCGATATCGTGCCCGTTTTCAAAAAGAGTGCCCGAACTGACTGCGCCAAGCACAGAAGGATTAGTTTCATATGTGTTGCTTCCAAAGCGCTCGCAGTTCTGCTTCTAAGGAGCCTCAGCCTGGTACGTGAAAAGAGGAAACCATGGACAATGTTGTGTTGTGTTTTATTTTACTGTTTCTGTACCTTCGTTTGAATCCCATGGTTTCTGATGGCATTATGTCTGTTAACAGACTTTTGCAAATATATACGTGAAAAGAGCATACGTGAGGAACAAGCTAGGTTCCACTCAAGTCAGAGTTGCATCGAGCAGAATGAGAGTGGGACTGTATTTAAGATCAAGCAGAAAGGTTTTTGTACAAATCTATCGAATTATGAAAAACCAAAAACATTCAATTGCAAGTCGTCAGTGGTAATGTTTGATCAATTAATCGTTTATCTAGGAACTCGTATTGGTGTCGTCATTTCCGGGTATACGTGTATTTTCTGAACTGTATGTGTACCGTTTCATAAAAGCACAGATTTCCGAAATAATCGTCGATACACGTTTTAAAACACTTCACGGAATCGGCCTCTTTTACTCCTTCTGGTAGTGTATTCCATGTTTACGATTCTTCGTTCTATACAAAGCTGAGATGATACCTTGTTCATGCAGGGGATCCTGAGTTTATAACGGTGTCCTCGGGTGTTACAGCGTTCCCGTAGGTAAAAAAATTTAGCCGCAGTATTGGAAGTGATTCAAGTGTACAACGAGATGGGTCATAATAAGGTCAATTCTTACTCGGCGGTAGGATAGTGTATAGACTCCGAGCCTTTCACAACGTTTTTCATACGGAAGCTTTCGTAGACGGGGCATCATTCTATTCGCGATGTGCTGTTTTTTCTCGAGCTTTTCGATTTCCCATTGGGTTACCGGATGATAAGTTGAGGCGCCGTATTCAAGGATTGCTCTAATGAGCAAGGGACGGTTTCTTGGGACCATGTGGAGAATCTGCATCGCAATTCCCAGAGCTTACGAGGTCACGCATGGCACAATTTCTCTATTTTGTATTGATCTCATGTCATGTTGCGAGAGTACTCTTAAGTCTCTGACAGATGTGTTAGGGTGGAGCAAGGGCCGTCCAAGGCGCATGATCGAATGGCTGGACGTCTCGTGATACTGATGAACTCCGACTTGATTTCGTTAAGAGGGATTCGCATTTCAGTGGACCATGTTGACAGACGATCTAAGTCATGCTGGAGGCGAGCGCAGTCATCCTGGTTCTCAATGGTCTACTAGATTTTCAA